CCTGACAATCATTCTTGAATCACCACCAATGCACTATGATGGTCAGGACCACCAGAACTTCTGATACTACTACTAGTAGTAGAAGACTGCTCATAGTAGTAGCTGCTCCGTGGGGCAGCACTTCACTCTGAGGAATGTTTCCAGAAGAGCAACCACGCAGGGATTCTCGTCATCTTTCTTGTGACGCAGGAAAATTATCGGCCTAGAAACAGAAATTGGGGCTATTTCATAGGCGCGAGGGTTCAATAAGTATTCAAAGACCCAAAAATATTGTTTATACCATAGTTTCGTATCTTCAAAAATATCACKATCATAGAAAACTGCATACAATTTCTTAAGAAATGAAGAACCTCAAGGATCAATATTTATTATTGATTCCTCGATTTAATTAAAGGACTGAAACAAGAGTATGAGGTGGTTCTTCGTTGAACCATTCTTTCTCTCTGCATTAAAGGCCGGAATCTTTCCAGCATTCTTTCCTTTGACATCTGATTATCATTCTTAGTCTTGAGATTTTTTAACTTCTTCACCAGTTCGCGTATGTAACCCAACTTCCCCGTACAGGTAGTGCAATGTACAGACCCTTGTACATCTTCATCCTGAACCGTGAACACTTTCTGTTCCTATCCAAAAATGAATTATCTTTTCTTGCGAAACAGACGAGCAAGAAGGAAGGAAGAATATTGATCAATTTGTGTCGCGAAATATTGGAATAAACAAAAACGCGAACAAATACAGTTTTCAGAAAATAATATTAGATTCCTTTGATGATTGATAATAACACGAGCATAACTAAACCAGCAATCCTATAATGAATCGCGACGACGTGTTAAAGGTTGCTCACAAGGAGGTCGCCTCTATGATGGCTTCCGAATTAAACAGCATAACATCGGAAGAAAGAGCTAGAATTTTGGATGATGTTCACGGAGTCGGAMAAATATCTCCAGAAGAAGGGAATCTGAATGTGATTCGAGATAAACTCAATGAGATGGAAGCTGTTTTGCGGTCCATCYCCATCAAACCAGCATTCGACGARGCGCAACGCCTTTGCAGAGGTACACCGCACGGACTCGTAAATAATCCTTCCTTTCGACTAAAATTCTTGCGAGCAGAGCGCTTCAATGTTTACGACGCCGCTCAACGCATGATTAACAATTTAGAGCTTATACTTGAAACCTTCGGCCCGGAGTGCCTTGTGAGACCCATACAACTTGGCGATATGATGCTTGATAGAGATAATCATGGATCGGATCCTTTTCTGTTCTCTGGAAATTTTTTCCAGATTATGCCTTTTCGAGATCGGTCGGGGAGACGAGTAGTTGTTCGTACTGGGAGAAAAGTTTTTAGGAACGACGACATCGATATGGAAACAAGGGTACGTTTACATCTTTAATGCGCGCACTTGTGCACGGTCCGTTATGCTTTTCAAACCCAGTCTCCGCTTGTCTCTACATTTCCTTACTTTGTTCATCCAATTTCTATACATCGCTCAATACGTGACAAGTTGAAAGCTCTCCTTTACGTCTGCCAGGAGTTGGCCAATGATGTTGAATGCCAAATGAAAGGCGTTGTTTTAATCGGATTCCCTCTTACAAAATGTACGGGAGATCCTATTCTCTCTGGACCGGTGAAGAAGATATATAGTGTATTTGCACAAAAAGTAGTACCAGTGCGTTTAGCCGCTGTTCATCTTTGCATTGCAGATAATCCGTGGTTCCGACTCGCTTCCACTTTACTTCTACAAGCATTCTCAAAAGAGTTTCGCTTGCGGTCTAGAGTCCATATAGGTGAGATACCGCAAGCAGTGTACAGCAGCAATTCGTTGAACTGGTACCGTAAAAAGTGTTTGCTTGATTCKACCCTCTGTAATATTTGGGCGAATAGATCTGTTTGCATATTGGAACATCGGCTCATTCATTTGCGTCCCGAAACACACTTTCGCATGAATCGCGATTCAATGAAGGTTCTATCGAAGAATGTTCATACAAATTAATGACTTACGGGATCCCTGGTGATCAAATACCGATAAAGTCTTCCGGTGTCATAAAGTGTGCAGACCATAAAAAATTCATCGCGTTTTGCCAAGAGCGAGAAGATGCGATTTTTCGAAATGGAGGCGAGTTCAAAGGGATCTTTTGTCCAGCTTCTAAGGATATATTAGTCGGGAGAGGACCTCGTATCAAGAGTCACATCGGAAACGAGACGTATAGAATGCTCCTGCAATCTAAGTACGACGAATATAATGTAGCGACTATGACGAGGAAGAAACAAATCCTTTTCGATATTGTCGAACAAGTTCATGTATACGGTGGGCGTTTCTTGGTACCCACAAAAAACTGCTGGATGGAAACAGATGATGAAACCGCAAGAAACAAGGTGAGCGTTGCATTTCGTGACGTTCGGAAAAACATGAACGCAAAAAAGAATCTGGAATATACCGATAGCGTTGCGGAAGGGCTTTCTATGGCGATGAGAGTCGATGCGATGGATTTCGGTTGTATGTGAGAAAATTCATTGCCACAAGAGGCATGCCGGTGCCGGCCTGCATTGAAAAAGCGTAGAATGTAGTAATTCAGCTTGAGGAACTCCACGCACAATCAACATTTTCTTTGTTTTGAATGATATGATAATGCCAGAAGGTAATAATCATTGATAATAAGAACAGTGAAAGAAAAATATCGATTGGACTCTGACTAGGAAATGTGGAATACTTCAGTTTGAAATTTTACGCGGTGCCATGCGTCGACAAACGAACTCAATTTTTGGGAATTCGTGTGCGTTATAAGTTATAGATACATAAACCGAACGCACCAAACGAATGAATTACATACTAATCGTGACATATTCCAGACATACAAGTGTTTATGCTAAAAAACTACTGGACACACTGAGTGTATGGGTGAAWATTCATTCTTGATCTCCATCGGACCTAGGTTAGAGAAAAAGATGCACTACTTGTTGGTTATCAAACCATCCTATTCTCTATGGGGGAATAAATAGCACTGCAGCCATTCGTGAGGAGTACAGAACATAGGGCTCCCTATTCTGGGCGCTTTGCAACGACGTCACAATCTGCTGTATGGACCTATTCAGCAAAATTACAATTTGTGCTTGGCACAYTAGGCGACAAGYAATGAAATCATCAGGGTCGCCCTTTCATACGACCTTGTGTGCAGTGGAATCATCAGCGGTGCTCCGAGGTTTAAATACAATACGTAGAACTGTATTATCCACGTTTCTTTGTCTMTTATTTGATGGGTCATTGGGGGATGACTACAACATGGTATACAATACAGTTAACCCCACGCMATGAATTGCGTGCTACAAGAACGCTTGTTCCCTTAAAAGCGGTCTGATTTCTTTCGTTTCGCACGCTTTGCTGTTTTGGAATCGGTGGGACCGATTTTTCGTTTGGCCGTCAGTATTTTGTTACGTTGTCTTTGGTTTTTCTCTAACTTTTCGGGACTGTATTTTTCCAAGAACGCATCGCACGTACCAAATGCCACGCCGTTGAAGTCTTTGCCATCGGTAATTTTTTTCTCGAATTTGGCGCAATCACCGGGCTTCACCCAGTTGTAGTTCGAGTTTCTCGAACGGWAGTCGATGGGCAGAGCGGCAAACTTGGTTTCGACCTGTTCTATGTCGTGACGTTCGCAATACGGATAGGGTATCGAAGGGTTACTGAGGAGCAGTTCTGTTACGTTACACCCGTGSAGTCGGTAGCGGTTGTATTTCGATTGCTGGAATCCACAGCATTGCCTCAGAATCTCGAAGTGACTCATGTACTCTTTCAATATCCGAAGATCTTCCGCGGTGAGCCCAAAGATCGGAGCGTAATTGTCGATTTCGCACATGCTACAATTGTACAGGTTCGACAGCTCTTGATCATAATAGGAGAGGTCTGAGAAATTAGAAGAATCGCCCTCTCGATGAGAGGTAAACAAATGTATCGAAATACCAAATTTTTCCTTGTGTTCCCTCATCATTTCCTGGATCCCTTCAAGGTCGTCAACATGGCTTTTGATAACAAACGGCCCGATTTTTCCATCTACGGGTTCTGGCGGGTATTTGCTCGTCAGAGCAATCTCGGGCGATGGCGAACTGCCGGTTTGTTGTGTTGTTTTCAAGTTTGCAATTGCATCTAATAGAGTTACCTGGAATGTGCTTCCTGTCCGTATTGTGCCCAATTGCATCAAATGGAATGGGGGTTTGAGCGGCAATTCAGCAGGATCCATGTAAAATGTTTTCTGGGTGCCGCTACCAGGATYACCMGCAGTTTCCGTGCTTTGGTTTTCATCCGCGTGGCTACYCAAMGCGKGCTTTGTCGTTGCTACCGCATCGTATTCTATTTCGCGCATGTGCTGAAAACCAGGTAGCCCCAAGAACTGCTTTATCGATAAACATCCACAAAGCACGAACATCGCAAGCAGCTGATACAACCTGGAGCTAGCACTGGCCGATCCAACACTTGGTTGTCTCTGTTCCCTGTTCTCATTTGCGTTCATCGTGAAAGCAATCCGAAGTTAGCAAATCAGTAAGTACTGTGCAGTGGAGTGTMAAACATAGGGTTGCGATGGAAGCCCCTCGATTTTGCGGTCGTTTGATCTATCGGTTGTTATGTCTGGTGTTTGGGATGTAYTTTGCCATACCGGTACCCATACGTTCCGTGGGAAAATGCGACTGAGCGGTGCGCCAAGCGGTTGTTGCGTTTCTTGTTTCTTCGGTCATTGTTTTTGCTGTTCGTGATTCGTGATTGATTCATTCATTCCATCGGTTTCTGCGGCTCGTGGAGGACGCTTGTACCAGGTACGAGTACTACTAGTACTGGTACCGTAGGTCTCCCTACTGATACCAAGTTTGAAGCAGGGGTCAGTACAAATTACAAGTTCACAAGTTCAGTATTTCGAAGTACCTGGTTCAGTAGTACCACCGTACGAAGTTCTTATTTTACTACGCTACCGTAACGTACCATACATCCTCGTACCAGGTTACAGTACCGGTAGAGATCTTTCCCTCTGAGATTACAGTCGTGGTGGGTACCTTATGTATGTACCGTACCCTATTAGGATCGTATCGTATCAATATATTATTTCATTGTTTCGTTTCGAACTCACCCGCCCGGTTACAAATAGCTACTTGATGAGTTCGAGTACGGCACTTACTGTACGATACTCGTACGTACCCATGGTTCATAAATAGGACCCCTGTACGTACCTACCTACAGTCAGGGGTCGGTACGGTGCGGTACGGTACCGGTAGTACAGTATTGTAGAACGATATCTGGAATTGAACATTGAACCCCTTGAGCAGTCCAGGCAGTGCATGACACACTCATGTATGTTATCGAGCCAGCCAGCTTTTAAATTTCTTGGTAATCAACTTATTATCATTAATCTTGAGCTATCGCCGATTTTTATATTTTAGGCTGGCGAGGCCTGGGACTCACTATTGCGATGAATACCACAAACATCTCTTCACTTTTATCCTTAAGTAAGTTTCGAGATGGCCGATCCTCACTTAGCCGTTTGCTTTTTCCTGGCGCGGAATTTCTCCTTTTGGTCCGGCGCTTTGGCTACTCCTAGTTCGTAAAACAGTAGGCAGAAAATAATGATTCCATTCATACTACTCGTACCGTACCATACTCAGTGAAGACTACATCGCTCATCACTTTTCCGAACGCAAAATCCGTAATAGCCTTCAAGACACGCTTGCTCGCTATTTTCAACTCACATTTTCAATCGAACGAGTGTCACTYTCAGCCAAAACCACCCAAATAGTATAGCATACGAAAAGTAGAAACAATTTAAACACAATACTATTCAAGATGATGAAACACACACCCRTCCTCTTCGTTGCGCTTGTCGCCTTTTTGAGCGGAGCCAACGCCGCCAACCGAAAACTTCGAGTTGGAGGTGCCGAGAGGCAAAACAGCGATGCCATCGCCGACGATATCGATTCGTCCACTATGAGCCGTATCAAGCAGCGATACCTTAGGCAACGGCACGATGCAAGAATGAGAGASCATAAGAGAATCAGCTACAATCCGGGCAACATCGGGTACTACGACGGGGGTGCCGCCAAAACGGCAGTCATCTTCCCAGAAACACCATCTCCTACGGAAGTGTCAATGAGCATGAGCATGCCGATGTCCATGAGCATGAGCATACCGATGAGCATGTCCATGAGCATGCCGGCTGATATCATCGAAGTTGATATCATCAAAGCAGCACCCAAGACTGCGGAATTGATGAGCATGTCTATGAGCATGCCAATGAGCATGTCTATGGAAATGTCGATGCCAATGAGCATGTCGATGGATATGTCCATGAGCATGCCGGCTGATATCATCGA